AGCAACCTAAACTCTGAAACTCTCCTGCGCACACACCAGGAGAGATAGCAACACACATTCCTCATCTACCCCCCCCCCGGAGAGAAAACCTTTCTGGGCTGGGTGAGAAAAATATTTGACAAACATCACAATAATTTCCCTAAAACCAACTTTCGGGTCCCTGCGGTGTCCCTCGAAGGGACGATGTTTAGCGGCGCTGTTCCAGATGTTCGATAAATAAATAAGACACACACAGAATTTGCTTCATCCAGATGTGTTTACTTCGTGAGCCACAGCCTCAGAGAGAAACACAGAGAGGATGACTATTACACTAACAGCTGGAGCCCTCCAAAGAACCTCAACCAATGCAGCGCTCCCTAGTGGCGCGGAGGGGTTCCTGCGCACATCTGTGCACATGCAGCGAGGATGTGAGGGACACAAGGTTCATTTGGAGTGGTGGGACAAATAGGTCCATCTGGTGCTGCTATTTTAGGGTTTCGGTTGTTGTTTTTTATTCTATTCCAGCCTTTCCTGTCCAATCTTATTTGTGAAGTCCTGTGTAATCTGGTTTTTGGACCCTTTTGTCTGCCCTACTTGTCCTGTCCTATCTCTTCCCTTTGTCATCTCTTGTCCACTCTCCTTCATTGTGTATCCAAACGCACCTTTGTATGTTTCTTATCCAATCTCCTCTCATGCTTTCCTGTCCCATCAATCCCTATTCCTGTCTTATAATTTCCTGTCCCATCATCTGCTGTCCTGTAAAGTCCGATCTGTGGTGTAGGTCTGGACGGACAGCACTGTCCTGTTCTTTCCTGTCGTGTTCAGTATAGTGGATCCCTTCTCTACTGTAACACAATGTACTTTTCAATGTTATATCAGTTCCAACCGATGTAACATTTAGATGATCATAAAATAAAACTAAAAATTCTCTATATCATCTAATAAATATTAACTAAATATTCACAAATTCAGATTTAGGCTTTGGCAAAAACGAATGTGTTCAAATACAAAGTTGAAAAAAATCCAATAAATATAAATATATAATTTAAAAATAAATACATTTTGATAGTTGTCAGACAGAACTCCTAACACATCCTGTAATGTGCTCAGCCATATGTCAAGGTCACACCCAAGCAGTGGCATCAGCCCTCCTCCGGAACAAAAACAGATCAAATTTCTCCCCGTCCTCTCTGTCTGCCATCCTCCCACTGCTTCATTGACTCAACCACTGAGCAGAATCTACACTGATGGCACCCAGTGGAACTCCAGCATGCAGCTGGAAGAGCAGTGAGAGAGGCAGTAGGCGTGTGTGTGTGTGTGTGTGTGTGTGTGTGTGAGAGACAGAAACAGAAGACGAGTGTTCATGTCACACAGTCCAGAGCCTTGATATGTTTACATCAATGATGGAAGGATGGGGTTTCTGGCTTCTCCCACTGTCTCATGCAGGTAACATCTGTCTCCATGGGCTGAGACCCTCATAAATAATATTCACACCTCGCCGACAAAAACACAACACAAGCCTTCTCTGTTTGTCCCACAAACAATGTAACATCGGCCTGCAAAGTGCACGCTCATTCTTCCCATCACTTCTTCTTATGGCGTTGGGAAGCTTCAGAACAAACCTGAGCAGTAAATGAAGAGTCACAGCTTGTGGCTCAGCTCTAAAAGGACTCCCACATCACTGCTGCAACTTCCGCTAAGCAGAGGTCAATAACATAATTGCTTTTACGTTCACTCGTAAATAATCCGTCTGTCCGTTACGACTAACACGTGCACAGGCCTGTGAGGGCTTTAGAAGATCATTTTTGTCAAGATGAGGAGTTTATTGTTGTATTACTGAAACTTTTGTAAACTTGATCATAATCTTCTCCCACTCTTTTGGCCTCAAGCCATTCGTTTGAGGGCAGAGCAGCAACCTGAGGAACCGAACCCTCCCAAGCTGCGTGGGGCTAGAGGCATGTGCGATTTGGGGTGGGGGGGTGCAACCAACCAACCTGTCTGCACTTTAGCGGAAGGTATCCACATGCACACAGGCTGGCAAGCATGGACAAACACCGCATGTGCACTTTAAAAACCAATGCGTCAAGGCCTCAAAAACGTAACCTCGTTAATTGGGGTCACTTTAATGTGGATGTGAGAGTAGTAGAAGGATTATCAGGTGATTAACGGTGATTTAAAGTGGTGACGGTTTGAGTCAATAAAGTGATACCCCATTGTTCAGATTAAACACGACATTGCTTCATATGTTGGGACTGCACATGAGCCAAATATACTATTTTTTTACTTCATAGGTTGCTATACGGTGTATATTTATACATTTTATCTGGTCATCTGGTACTCCACTCACTAGATTTCACACTTGAGTGCAAAATAGGTGACCCAGAACAGCGCAGCGCCTTGCTGGACCATACTGGCTCCCAAGCTGTCCTGCTGCACAGCACACCTTCAACACCGTGGCTGCAGCTGCTCTGCCCCGTCTCGTGTGCGCATATGTGCACGTGTCCCCTGCGCGGGGACTGTCTGGCCGCAGCTGTCCTTACCTCTATGCGGGTCTCCGGGGCGAGGCTGACCTCTCTGTCCTGAAGCCACTTCAAAGAGGCCGGGGACGGGCTGAAAGGGGGTCCGAGGTGCCGGGCCGTCCGGCACGGCTGCTGCTTCCCTGGGCTTTGGGAGCTGGGGCTGCAGTGAAGGCAGGGGGGGGGTTCGGAGGCTCGGAGCAGGCTCGGGTGTGTGTTGCAGGAAGTGAAGGGCGTCGCAAACATGGGGACAGGAGGTGCATGTGTGTCGCAGGAGGGCAGAGACAGGAGGCATGGGGGTGGGGATGTTGTTAAAAGCTGGAAGTTTTGCTTTGCGTGCGTGTGTGTGCGTGTGTGTGTGTGTTGTTCAACCTGGACACACTGTCTGTGCCCTGGTGTCAACTCGGGGTGTCAAGGATGGGCTCGTGTGTCGATCGCTCGCCAGCGTACCGTCTCACTCACAGGGAGTCGGGGGTCCAGCTTGCGAGAACTTACGGCACATGGGCCCCCGAGGGCCACAGTTGCAATTGACAGATTATCTACCCCACAGACCCACACAAGAGGAAGGGCCAGACAATCTATCATAATGGCGTTGATGATCTCCTGCTTGTCCTTCTATTGCCAACAAACACATTCGCATTATAACCCTTGTGTGTACGCTTCAAACTTTCAAATCATAATTTCAACATGTGTAAGGACGAACACTTGTGTGCCCACGTTGATGACTCAAAGTTGTTTGTTTGTGCATGTGTGTGCGTGGGTGAGTGTGGATGTGCATGTGTGTGGGACACGTCTGGTCAGAGCAATGGCAACAGAAGGGCTCCCCTGTGCTGTCTTTTTTCCTTTTCAAGCTGTCTCTTCACCCCCACCTCCACTACTCTCTCACACACACACACACACACACACACATATAAAAACACAAACACACACACACACACACACACCTTTACTGGCTGCTGGTTTTTGCCCATACTCCCCCTCTGCGCACAGGGCTGTGAGCAAAAGGACAGCTGATGGCAAAATGTGTAGGTGTGTTAAAACAAGAGAGTGAGGAAGGTACACAAATGTATCGTCTGACACGTTAGGTCCACCTGAGTCTGCGCTCTGTGCCATGCCAGACCTACACCCTCTGCCACTGCTGCCCAGCTCAGCACTCCACACCGCGTGGACAGACAGACAAGGTGGGGTGGTTGGGTGGGTTGGAGAGAATAGGATGTGGGAGGACGCTGTGGGGCCACAAGGGCAACACATTGAAATCAGTTTAGCGTTCATAAATTTAAAACGTTTGTGTAAAACATAATGATATTAGTGCTTTTATGTGGAGCAGGAGAGAAAAATGATTTAGTGGGATATAAGAAATGAAGAAATATGCTCTTAATTTCCTTGGCTTTCGAATGACCAGCCATGTGGAAGGATGCCCAAACTCAATATTGCAGCTAAAGTTGCTGGCTTCAGCAATCAGCAATCTGATCCCTAAATGTGCTCTGAACATTTTGGTTTATACTGGAAAGATCAGCTGTTCAGTAAATGCTTTAGTCATGTGCTATGCAGCTGTCTGATCCTTGCGACTGTAAACAACATTTAGGCAATGTACTGATATTAAGAGGCCGCTGGGATTACTGAGCCAACTGACTTTTAACTGTTTGCTCAGTTGCTTAGGAACAACCATGTTTCTGTAAACAATAAACTCAAAAACACGGTAGAAAAAAGCCTCACAAACACCTCAATAACACACCTCACAGTGTAGCTTATCACAATTAATATACTGCTTCAGTTAAATCCCAAGCCATATACCAATTAAAAAATACTCATCAGCCGTCAATCTATGAACTGAATGCATTTGATAGTTAAATATTGTGTCCTTCAATTAAATGTATTTTTGATAACTTGTTTGTTGTTACTTGATTGTTAATACAAAACGTAAACCATAATGGTAAAACAGTTTTTTAGATAAGCAAACAATGAAATAAGAAAAACCTTTTTACCATTTTTATCGCAGGGCTTTTACTCAACTATTTCTACACCGTGTTATTGATACTTTTACTTAATTACAAGTGCTGAGTACCTCTTCAACCACAAACCTTTTCACATGTAAAGTAACTAGAGATTGAATCCATAAAAACAATTGCAATGAAGTAAATGGCATTAATCTCTCCTGGAACCAGGACCTCTACGGGCCTCTCTACCGCTGACTCTCACACGCCGACGGTCTGTTCTCGCGATGGTTGGCTTACCAGCCAGCAGAGACGCACGGGATGTGGGAACAGGATGATGAGAGACGAGACCGAGCTGAAGCCGTTTACACTAGAAACGGCAGGACGAGGCGAGACGGTAGGATGCGTGTGTGTGTGTGTGTGTGCGTGCGCGCGCGTTTGTGTGTTCGCGTGTCTGTGCGTGAGAGAAAAGGGGGGCGGGGGGCGGGGGGGTTGCCGTTCCTCCGAGTGACGTCACTAACGTTAGTCCTGAAAGTCACAACAACCGTTGGCGGCGGTTAACGGTAGTTTTTTTTTCCCCCCACAGCTTCTCGGAAATCCGAATGATGAGTAACGTTAGCGGTAACTGCGACGTTGTTGACTAACTCTTAAGCAAACTTACCTCAGCTCGCAGTTACGTTAAGTCACTCAGCAGGGAGTATAAACTGAATAACGCGGGCGGTTAATGAACAGCAGGTGCACAGGAATACCACAGCACCTGCCGCTACAGGTAATACTGTTGGCTAGCCGCACTGTATGGACTAAAGTTAGCTTCATATGGTGTGTTATGCTAACGGTAACGTTGTCGCGGCGGGGGCGTTACCGCTGTGTTTGGGCCATTTGCTCATGATGCTTAGTGCTGTGATTGTTGCGGAGGAGAGGAACGGTCTCTGTGTTTGTCTGGGAAAGAAAAGGTAACGTTAGTTTTTTGTTGACCGGGGGAAAAAAGTGGTGTCTTTCGAAGATAACTCTCATGTGTAGTAACGTGGCTTTTCAATGCCATGCTGCATGCAACACACGTCAGTTTGACAACCGTGTAGCACCTTGACGTAGTTGTTGCAGTGATGGTGCCGCTCGTGCGTGGTCGTCTCAGTATTTAACACCATATAAGTTACACATCCATCCCAACGGCTATAAGTGGATTCATTAAAATATCCCATTAGTAATGTTTTAAGCGACTAACGTTATTTATCGTCTTGATTGTTCTAAATAGCTGAGAGACAAAAAATGTGGTCTTAGATCAATTTATTCCTTAATCATCTGGCTTGCAATTAATATATATCACTTCATTTGTAACATTATATTCTCAACATCTACATTTTGGCTATGATCACAGCCCTGAACTATGTGTGTGTGAAATGGAAAAAATAGACTTCAGTGTGTAACGTGGTTGTTAAACACTCTTACGAAGCCCGTGTGGTCAGCTATATCGATTTAAAACAGAAGTGATTTTGTGAGATGGAAAAAACGCATCCTTTGTTCACAGTGTAGCACTTGAAGTCCTGCCAAAAACTGGCTTTCATTTTAGAAGGAATATTGTTGGCTCACTTCTGCTGATGTCAGCCAGGGTTTGTACGAGGCCCCAGATTATGGCGAGGTGAGGCGAGGTGAGGTGAGATGAGGTGAGCTGGCCGCTCTATTTAGTGTCATCAACCACATTTATAACCATACCAAAGGTTTAGAGTTTGAGTGATTCTCTACCATCAAGGTTTCAGTCCAGGAATCCTCAGTCGGATATATTTATTGAAAAAGGGTTTTGTTATTTTACTTGTTAATTTATTCAAGAGTTTGCAGGCACAGGAGAGACTAAATAAACTCATTAATTCAGCAACTTTGCCTTGGACAAAGTTATTTTTCTTCACACTAATAGCTGTGTAGCAGTGTAACAATGGCTTGTAAATGTTAACTGCAAAGTTCTGGTCATGTCAGAACTCTGTTCATATCGTTTATTTTTTCCCCACTGCCATTCTGTAGAGCTTGATACGCCTCGAGCAACTAATGGCTGACTGTCGATTTGTGGCTCTATTTCCATTGTTCCTAACTTTCCCTTTCTCACTAACTCCTCTCCCAGTGGCTTCGTGTTGTTGCCTCTGGAATGAAATATCATGAAATAAATTTTGTCTGGCAGGTGCTTCCCCCTGGCATAGTTGGTTCATCATGGCAGTGCATATCTCCATAGCAACGGCTGCCCTGGTGACAAGGGGTTGCCACTCTCTGGACATTTTGTCTTTTCCTCTTGTCACGTCTCGAGTCCTCTTGCCTCTCAACATGTTCCCCAGATTAAGGTTGAAGCCAACCACAGCTTCATTGAATTACACTGTAGATTTAAAGGTTAATCCAGAACAGAACAGAACAGAACAGTAGACTACCATAAAAAGGATTTCATTCCCTTGGTCGTTGTCGTTGTGTGTGGTGGTGCGAGCGACCGTGCGCACGTGTCCATGTGTACGTGCACTTGTCTGTATGTGCACAGGTGTTGGGGGGGCTTTTTGCACTGAGGAGTGGACACAAAAAATCAATATTATTTCCCACAGTCCAAATAGTTTTATCCAACTAAGGGTCAGAAAACTCTAACGTTACACCTAATCCCACAACAGTCGTTGTAGCCTGAGTTACTCAGTCAATTAAAAAGCAAGCAGCAAAGTAATGATAGCGTTGGTGTTCTATAAAATAAATAAATCTCTAAGTAGTACTTAGAGATTTATTTATTTTATTCAACAGTTATTGGTTCCAACCAAACTTTGGCTCATGGATGGTGGAACCCATCCTTCTTTTGTTATTAATACTGCGTAATCAAGCTCATGGCAATCAATCAAAGGGACCAAAAAGAAGGAAATGGATACATATTGTAAAAGGGTAAATTAAGTTAAAGCATGTAGCCACCTGAGAAGTGTTGTATTAGTCTGCATTTCTTTATTTGGTTTCAGATTAACTTTATATTGCTGCCGCAACATAAATAAAAGCTCCGTGTCCCCTGCCTGTGTTGTGACGCAGCAGTCCCTCCAAGGGTCTGCAGCAGTGCAAACACTAGCTGGTCTGAATACTTATTTGCAGCTACATGGCTATGACTGCTAGCCCTGCCGCTGTAGTGCTGACTTCCATTCAAGCGGAGCAGCGTAGTGTTGTTGCGCTTGTGTAACGCAGTGTAGTGGGGTGCATTTGAGGTGAACACGGCAGCTATGCGGAGAGAGAACGAGAGGGGGGAGGGAGGCGACAGAGAGGTGCAGGGATTTGGGCAGAGAGAGAGAGAGAGAGAGAGAGAGAGAAAGTATGAGAGCATCCCTAACCGCCGTTGTCGCTATTTTTAGCCGAGCCCTACTCCACAGTCCTGAGATGCTCTCCCACCTCCCACATATAGACAAACCAGCCCACACAGCAAATCATTTGACATGCAGAAATACAGCAAGCACAGAAAGGTAGACTGGGTTTGGCACATAGCACAACCTGCTCATATGAATGAATGGACGAAAAACGGAACTCTGGGGTATTTGTTTGGCAATGAAGGTCAGTTATTGCCACGTCAAGAGCGCCGCAATTATTCGTCTTGTTTATTAGAGTTTGAGCAATAGAAAGAGGAACATGACTGTATGATTGGGTGGGTTGGAGGCAAAAGAGCGGAGGCAGTCTTTGGTCTCATAATAAGTTGTTTGTTTTGTTAGATTGTATGACAGGGCTTTTGGAGGGAAGAAAAACAAATTCATGCCTTATTTTCTCTTTATTTTTTCTCCTTTCACTTATTTACAGGCTGAGTCACTGCTAGTGAGGAGGAAGGTCTGGAGAGGGAACGAAAGAGGAGGAGGTGGAGGAGGAGGGGGAGAAGAAGAAGAATAACTGAGGGAGACGGGGAGATAAGCCACAACAGGAAACAAAACACATACACACACACACCGTGTGTGTCTGAGCGGGAGACTGCGCGAACGAGAGGTTGAACGGGAAAGGAAGGAAGGGAGGGAGAGTGACGCGGAGGCTGGGAGAGCCTCCCCCCCCCCCCACCCGCTCTCCTCCTCCTCTCCTCCTCTTTCTCTCTTCTCCTCTCCTCCCCTCCCTCCCTCTCTCTCTCTGTGGAGCAGGCGTGTAGCGGCATCAGACTCGGCGTGAAGGAACCATGAGCGATGTCACCATCGTTAGAGAGGGATGGCTCCAGAAACGGGGTGAGTACATGCAGTACCCATCTTCCTCTACTCCCTTCCTCTTCTACTCTGTCTCTTGTCTAGACCGAGGGCCTGGCCGTGCCTGTCCACATGTGCCGGTAGGAGGATGGGAGTGTTGGCGATTGAGCGTGTGTGATGACATGAATGTCTGATTATCTAGTGTACGAGTACATTCTTTGTGTGTGTGTGTGTGTGTTTCCCCCACGGGGATGTGTCTTTTCATTATAAGCCTGGCTGGCTGCTTGTTTGTTAAGCCTCTATGTGCTTCGAGCGGGTTGTGTCTGAATAAGAGTGTGACCATGGGCATGTGTGTGTGTGTGTGTGTGTGTGTGGTTAATAACATCTGCCAGGCCGGTAGACACACAGCTGAAACATAGTGTTCTGTCAGGGTTGCCTGTGCACTAGTCTGTGAAACTGGTTAGTTCTTTCTTTCTGAGGTATTATTTAATAGGGTTTGGATTTAAGTCATATGACATTGTGTCGAGAGGGGCACTGATGCATCCTGTTTACATCCGAATTAAAGTTGGTACTTCCCTGTTCTTAGACGTTGATGACTTAAGTTCAGCGAGTGGTTGCTGCAACAAGCGAAAGGTCACTTGTGTGTCCAACTGAACCACTTGACAGTCAAAAAGTGATATACAGTAGCTCTGTGATGACTGAAAGGCACTGTAGGAGTGTTTTTCCTTTTTTAACATACTGCCCCCTGCCCCCAAGACTGCAATTGGATAGGTTCGTATGTCTGCCGATGCTGATACCAATGTAAATGTATGTTGTAGGAGAAGATACCCAGGGATGGAATAAGGGGGATTTCCCGACTTTTGAGCGAATGAGCATCATCCCCAGAACTATGTGATGGCGTCTAGGAATGTAACACAAACTGTTGAACAGGAAGTGATGTGGATACATAACAGACAGAAGGCTTCTGGGTAATGTAGGCTAGGGCCGCACAATATACCGGTTCGATATACCGGTTCAAACGGTATACCGGTATAAGATTTCCGTATGGTATGAAAAGATTTCCGTATGGTACCGCTTTACGCTGTAACAACTGACGTTGCTCTTCGGCAGGCGGCAGAATTTATTTTTGCATGTCATGGAGGAGCGCCGAGCGGTCGGAGCTACTTGTCTTACGTGTGTTGAGATTGAGTCATGGTTATAACTTTATAACGACAATAAAACCCCCACAAAAAACGCTCTTTAACAGGGTACAACACCACGACACAACAGCTTGTGACACATAAACATTTGTAACACAAATAATTGTACATTTATAAAAATTGCTGGGTACAGCTCACAACAAGAAGTAACTCTGCTCCTGCATGAAAACACGGAAAAGAGCGATGTAGAAGGAACAAGGAGCGACCAGAGATGCACCAACACAACTTGTGCCAAGAGAGGAGCTGTGTCTGTCTGGAGGGTTTTTGGTTTTGGAAAATCCGAGTACTTTAACGTTATGTTAGAACAGAAAACGTTTTATTGCAAGGTCTGTCAACACTAGCAGCCACAACAAGCTAACTCGCCGGCCAGTTGGCCAGCGAGCGGCGAACGGCTGTTTGGGTAGCCGGCTGTCCTTTTCGGGGTCAATGAATGAATGAATGTGTTTACTTGAAAAAGCAATACTGTCACATACTGGGATACCGTCAGAATCTTTCTAAATACCGGGATATGGATTTTTGGCAAAACCGCACAGCTCTAATGTAGGCCATCGCCACGACATGTTGGGCGACAGAGTGCTCCTTGCTGCATGGAGCGGATGCCCTCTCGCTATGTCACACACTTACACAAGTACTGTACACACTCAGTGTTGCCGAACTGGAGGGGAGGATCTCTGTCTACCGTATATGTGGCAGCATGCCATTGTGATCCTCAGACAGTCGTCTGTGCATATTAACAGGAACACATCGCCCCCAGTCACGACGCAGCGCTACCAGTGTTTATCAGTGAGGGAGAGAGGTAGAGAGAGATGTAGCGAGGAGGGGGCACTGTTTGTGTCAGGAATATGAATTTTTGTCTACCTCATATGCTAAATCTTTGTTTGTGTGTGTGTGTGTGGAGGAGCAGAGTCGGGGTGCTGACTCACTGTCCAGGTCGTGATACAGCAAAGACTGCAGTCTCAGTCGTTAGAAATCCTTTTACCGAACCGAAGCGGCAAGAGAGAGATTGCATCTGGAAGGCCCTGTCGTTTTTCAAATCTTCCACATTGTTTTGCTTTACACTAAGAGACCTAAGGACGGTGACGCTAAAATACTGAATGTCAATCAGGAGAGACTTAATATAGAGGGAACAAATACATGTATCACATGGTGCACAACTCACTGTTGTGTTTAGGGGGGTAGTGGTGCCATGGTTGGATCAGGAATAGTCTCCCTCCCCACCATTGATGGTAAAGAGGTAAAGAAAGTTGCTGAAGTTCTGGGTGATTGGAAGTTGAGAGGGACTTCTGATCCCTTCAAAGTAACCTTGGGCCCTGGATGTGATGAATACTAGCAGGGAACGGGATGGAGGACGAGATGAGACGAGAGTTCTATATTTTATGTCTTTAAGTTTGTCAGCAGCTATATGCTAGTTGGTTTGACTGAGTGTGAATGCGAAAGATTTGTGAATGAATCAGAGCATAACAAGAGTAAAGTTCCTCCAAGCTTCACGAGTGGAAGATTGGAGAGAAAGAGCGGGGATATTGTTAAGAAAGAAAAGGAGGAAAATAGTGTAACAAAAGTCTGTATGAAAGATGTTTACGTACTTCTCAGAGGCTTCTAATTCATTCAGTCAGAACAACTGGTATTTCATCAAAATAAAATTACTGCTGACTTTGTTTACATATTAAACCAGATATCGGGTTACGAATCTGAAGTCTTTAATGTGACTAAGTCAGAGTAATGTTTTTTTTGTGTATGTTGGCAGATGCTTGTTAAAAAAAGGTTGTGTTTTTGATAATCTCATAATTGATAATTTTACGTTAAATTAAGGGGGTATATTTCTTTCGTGCAGTTCTGACCCACAACAGCTGTTAAGGATACGCTTCCAATATGGTTATTTTTGTAATTGAAAGATAGTTGGTTGTAAAAATGATTTTATTTTTACAGGTTTGCTTTATATGTTGATCATCGTTTTCCAGACCACTCTGTGCGCGACTGAGATTTAAATCAACATTGTTGTAAATCTCCTTCTCAGGGCATTGAGGGGAGCACATAAATTGCATAAATTTCTGAAGCTCCACCAATGTGATGATTTGGCTGTCCAGGTCTTATTCTTAGCCTCTCGTACACCAGACATGTTTAACATTTAAAACTTTACTTCCCACGCCATAATGCTTTAACAACGCGATTGTTTGCATTTCTTTTTTTTTTTTGTGACGAAAAGCCTTGAGCAGTCCTCTCGTTGGGTCAGGTAGTCGGGGAACGAGTAGTAGCGGTAACCAACAACGCTGTAACGGAACAACAACGCTGCATACTGTGAGCGCAAATGAATCAACAACAAGCCTCTCTTAAAATGAGGTGTGCTTGGTTATTGCAAAAATCCTAATCAGTCATCGACTTTGGAGACATCATGCTTTCAGAAGGAACATTTTGTAGTCTATATCAGTTAAAGATAAATCCATCAATAGACAGACAAGTTTGTGCGCAGATGCGCTTATATGTCTGTGTATGCGCGCACGAGGCAAAACACTGATCAGTTCAACTTTAAATAGTGTATAATAAGTATTTTTGAACGATCGACAAAATCTTCATAGATGATTCAACCATATAAGCATAAGAGTGTGATAAAATATAGTAAGATATGAAATCATAGATTGCTCATCACCTCGAGCCAATCATCATCTTATGATGATTTGTCACGGAGGCAAACCTCGGGAACATCTTTTCAGACTGCAGTACACCGCGTCCTCAGGTGACCGACCGAGCCTTTCAGCGCTCGCATGCTCACTGCCATGGCGAAGGTTTCCTTCCTCTTTTCATTAAATCACGGGGCGTGCATCGGCTGCATCATTTCTCTATCTGGGAAATAATGAACACTGGATGGAGGTACATGTAGCAGAATTTGTCGCCAGTACAAAGGCTGCAGACTTTTCAGAATATATATCCAATGTTTGAAAACACGTTGTTCCGTTTTCAATCATAGTGGCCGAATTACTTTTTCAAAGTGACTTTGAATGACATGTGCTAGAATATGTAACGGATAGATGTTGGCTACAGCCAGGTTCTGGGCTTGGATGGACATTGTTATATATTCAATGTTGTGTTTTAGGGGGAATCGGACAAAGCTGTTTCCGTGCATCTTTTTTAGGAGTTCGAATGTGAAGAGAACTCCTTTTCATTTCCACGTTTGCGTTGTGTCAGTCCGCGTGAGGGCACAGAGGTCACGGCCAGCCACTGCAGTCGAGGATACTGTTACCTCCACCGGCATCAACCCACACAGCAGTCAGCACAACAGAAGGAAGTAGGAACACAGGGAGAGAGAACAATGTCATATTGTTTTTTTTTGGTTGACATTACCGCCCTCCAGAAGTGTTTTTCTCTACAAAGCTACTAATTGGATTAGACAGGTGTTACGAGTGCAGGAAATGTTGTTGCTGACTCGCTTTTCAAGTAATCCAAGATCAATGGTTCTTTGCCTCCCAGGAGGGTTTAGGCAATCAATGTTCTGATGAATTCAAGAGCATGTTGCACTCATTCCTTTTTAACAATTAAACAATATCTAAATCTAAATTTCCAATAAATATTGTGTCATCTGATGTCTGACTCATCATCTCAGTAGCTGAGAGAGTTGTACATTTTTCTCCTTCCTTTGTCAGTAGGATGCACTTCAACTTATTATTGTCACTTTCTGTGAGCATTTCGGGTAAAAACTCAGGCGGGTTCATACGGGTGTGGTTACATTCATGATTACATCGGCAGGATTTTTTTAGTGGACTTGATGCAATATTAAATTACTATGCCGCGTCCCACCCAGTGAAACGTTCTGCATGTCTTGCTGGGGCTCTCTTTCTGGAAAACTGTTCT